AGGTGGATGTATATTGGCCAGAAACTGGAAAATACGTTCAATGGGATGAATTTGAAAGGGCTGACCAAGTAGGAGAACTTGAATTAAAGGTAGCGACCACTGAATCAGCAGAGGAATAGAACCCAGCTGGAGAAAGAGGGACAATAAGAGCAGCAGGGTCCAAGAAATTGATGGATTGGGGGCTTAAAAAGAGCTGAAAGATGAAGTGGTTAGCAATTTGTGGAGGAATGATTTGTGTGCCCACAGAGCAAGGATCAGCGTATTAGACTCAGGATCTAAGAAAGAGAATCAAACCCAGGACTTGGTAAAAACTCAGCAGAGCTCTGCTATAGCTGACAGTAGCTAATGCTTTGACATGAAAAGTGACAAGGAAGAACGGACAGTGAGAGAGAAAACAGGCAGGAAATTTCTCCTTAAATCAGCAAAGGCTCGATGCCTTAGCTGAAGAACCACAGCAGATTTCTGTAATATGGTTAGGGTTATAATTACATTTGCAGCCAAGATGCAAAACATTTCCCTGTATCCTCCCTACAATCTAAGAGTGCTGTCCCTTCAGAGCTCCTAAGCAGTGGGCTTACAGTGTTTTGGCACTGGATTCTCATGACTCACAGTAGTGTGGCAGTGAAATATCACTGAAGTAAGTTGTGTCACAATCCACTCCTGTTTTACAGAAACAGGGAGAGGATCTGGCCTCATTTTAAATAAATGCAAAAATGCATAATGCACATACTTGTCTGTTGTAAAACTCTGACATTTACTCTTCCCCGTTTCCTCATTGCCATAAGAAAATTATTGCCTAGTCCTATACAACTGTGCTGATAATGTTAAACAACAAATTCATAAGGTGAGTTTTTTCTGATAGAGCAAATAGGAACTGGATGTATTGACAAACTTCTAAGGACAGATTGGAACTCTAGTTGTAAAAACACTACTTGTGTACCAAAGACTGTGTACCAAATGCCACAGGATTTTGTAATGAGAGAATATGTAATCCCATTTTAAAGTAAAGAATTACAAATCTTCTAGTTATTATATCACAGGATTTTAAGTGACAGCTGCTGAATATATTGTTGTTGGTATTTACATACTGCACTTGGAAGTTAGCATAAAGATGAAATTAATCTTCTTTTCCTCCATAGCAAAGGAACCCTGCACAGGTTCTGCTATTCCTTAAAATAAGTTACTACATCCAGCAACCAACATGCACTTTTTAACTGAAGCAAAATTGCATGAATGACTGTGGTGTGAGTGGTTTGGTGGGTGAGGACATAAAGGCTTCAGTTTTAAGAATCCAGTTAACTCTAAACAGAAGTCTCAGAATGAACATTTGTTTTGCAGAACTAATATATATCATAAAACCTCCACACAGATTTTGCAACAAGTTGCCACTGTTGCTTAAAATGGATAAACTTGAGTGTTGAATGCAAATATTTTCTCCTTCATGAGTACACATTGACTGTGGATGTTGTAAGTGTATTTACTGGGTAATAACTGAAAAACAGTCAGCTGGTAGATCATTTTTGTGATCTAAAGAACTCAGGTATACCAAATTGCATGTTAATCAACTCTATTTTGAATGCAGCAACTGGAAAAGACCATCTCAGTTATATTTATTACATGTAAATAAAATTACTACATGTGTAAAGAAAGTATAAGCTGTTTGTTTAAATCATTAAACCAAAGGAGCTCAAAGAATAACAGTAACTGAACTTTACAATTCTCTTAGTATTAGCCACTCCATTTTTTGTTGTGACAGAGGTAGTCAGATCATATACCTATAAGTTGGGCAGGACCAAATTGCTTGATTTGCAGTAATACAAGTATTAAAATGAATGTCAAATATTTTTCCCTTGAAAAACAGTGTAATGTTTGTAAGATGTATCACACTTGGTGTCTTCTGATACTTCAAATAACAAATTATGGCCTGAAGACTCATCCCTTCAGAAATGCTAAATATAATTAATCCCAGTAATTAAACTGAAAACATTTGCTTAATAAAATTAACAACCTTAGCCAGACCTACATGAAAATTCATGTAATTTTTCCATTTGAATACAGTGGTTTAACTTTAAAGTAATTAACTACATATGAGAGACCTACTGTTTTGATTTTCTTTGAATATAGACTGTTCAAAGAAGTTATACCACATTCTAATGACTGATAACACAGTTCTACCACAATCAGAAAGTAACGAAATAGTTAGTATTATGCTGAATGTGAACAGAAATTGGATTCTAGATTAAAGACCTTTATACGGTTGACAGTTATATTTCAAATTTTCATACGTCTACCTAAAAAAGCTTTCTTTCTCTAATACTGTGCAGAAATCTGTGAGCACAGCTATGCCCTTTTTTTCGACTGAGATACAGTTACTGAACAGTCATTTAGTTGAAAATGATCAGATTTAATAATACTGTCTGATTCTCAGCTGCTGTTGATTGCTCTGGAAGAACAAGATTAAAAACTTGTAAGTGTGAAATCTAGCTGTCTGAAAGCGAAAAAAAATGGACTCCTTACAAGGAAAATATGTGTAATGTAGTCAGTTTAACTGATCAATTTAAATATTTAAATGTGTGGCAGATTTATATCCTGCACCTAAAAATATACCCAAACTACACTAAGAGTCAAGCCATTTCTCAGATTGCATACCTTCACGGGCTCTATTCCTCTACTGTACTCAGAACTGTGATGTTAATTATCAAGTAAAGGCAGGATAATATGAAACCCTTGTTCAAAACCTACACCCTGCACAAGTACTCCTTTGGTCCTCAAACAGTACTGGCATTGGTGTGGCTTAAGTGTTTTGCATTACAGGCAGAACACTGAAAAACATAACAGCAAAACAATCAAATCACTGAATTCAGAGCTGACAGAACATACGGAAAAACTATAAACATGCACTTCACTGGCCTTTTCTGCCTATTGTTAGATTAGCCAGTTTAAATAATGTTTATCATAATTACCTACTCTTATTTGGCTCCTTTTAGAGGAGTGAAAAGGGATGCCCACCAAATTTTGAGTACAGCCAGAAAATCACACGTCTGCATGCAAAATTGCCTATCAGCCTATCCAAAATGGCCCACTATTTTTGCAGGAAAGGGACTTTCATGGTGCAGAGAATGCTCTTTCTGAAAATCTCCAAGTTACAACAAAACAGACATTATTTTAAATTTTACATTTTCGCTCAAGTTTCTTGAAAAAACAGTCCTCATGATCAAAAGCATTAACACATTGTGAAGCAAGTAATAAATCCCTAAGTACTGGCATACTCACCCATTCCCACAAGAAAGCTTGCAGGAAGAAGTAAAGATATAACAGGAAACTTTTCCTGCTAAGAATATTCTGGCTTTTTGCCACTAAAAGAGGACAGGGCATTATTCTGGGGACAGAATTTGAATTCTGCTGGACAGGTTTACCAGAGCTAGGTGACAGCAAAGGCTTCATGTCTATATAGGAGATTTGAAGTAAAAGAGGAAAAGAGATGATGGAGATGAGGAAGAAATTTTGTACTTTCCTCTTAGTCTCAACTCACATAAATTTTTGTTCTGCTGTCAGAACCTCATCTTCTCCTAATGGGGAAGAAAATCTGCTGGGAGATCCCAAAGGAAACAAAAGAGTATCATCCTATACGTTGACATAAGAATAGACAGAAAAGTGATATATGTTCCTGGGTTGCAGTCTTTGCCAATCTATGGTGGTGTGACTGTGACATTTTGTAACAAGTGTAATGATGTCTCTTATACAGTATTTGTTCTCCATCAAAAAATTTTATATGTAATTCACACACTTACTTTCTTCCATTGCTAGTCTCAAATACATGACTAATCCAGGTGAAGATTCCAAAAGCACCAAAGTCTCATTTTAGACAACATGCAGATTATTTAAAAACCTGAAACTAACACCTTCAAAAAGATCTGAAGTAATCTAAGTGTATAGGACAAGGTATTCAGTAGCATTTATGCATAAATTTTCACTGATCTTTAAGACAGGACCTCATCCTTCCAATACTTTTTTAAATGATACTGTTAGATGCCTAATCACTTAGGTGCTTTGAAAACAGGAGTTGCATAAGTCACATAACCAATTTTTTAGATATCACTCTGAGTGTTTTGCTATTACAACAAAATATTGAAAGCTTCGTTTATTTTGCATGGCTTGAGTCCTAACATGCTTATAAAGTAAACTGACTTTTCTACAAATATTAGAAGCTTAAAATTGAAAATCTTAAATTTTAATTAATAATTTTCATAACTATAAATAAAACTTGTCCTATGTAATTTTTTTTTTAAATAATTACAAGGTGTCTCTAGCATTCTGATAGTATTGCTTTGATACTGTTATTATTATATTATGGTAACAGCATTCTGTGTGAGGTAGCTGAAACATTTGTTATTGTGCAGCTCATGAGTAAACTTTTCTTACATTTTATTAGACGTCCTTCCTCTGTAAATCAAAAAACTAAACAAGTCAGCCGAATGTCTTAAAGCTGTGATTCTAAATATTTTTGTTCCACGTATTTTACAACGTATTTTTAGTTCCTCCTGGATGGATGACATTATAACTTTTGGAGTGAGGAGAAAAGGCACACAATGTTTTCTGGACAGCATGTCACTGGGAGCGACTAGGAGATAAGGGGGAGATTCAGCTGGGAGGTAGTGGTCAAGGTGTGGAGAGGACTAACAGGACAAAGGGACAAAGCAGAATAGAAAGCTAGACAACAGGGAGACAGAGATCCCATCACAGGAGTTTCTGCTGAGCATGTGAGACTCAGCAGGATAAAACTCAGAGCTCACAAAAGACATGGATTCTCTCCAGTCTCTGCTGCACCATCTCCAACCCCCAAACCCATACTCTGTTGTCCCTGTTCTGCTTTCCTGCTGCTATGTCACCTCCAGGGTACGTTCTACAACCCTCCAGAAAGATGATCAGGCCTCTCGCTTTGAGTGCCTCCATCTCAGAGCAAAGTAACATAAGAATCCTCACAGAACACAGAATCTTACCTCAACAATATCTGAATTCGTTCGACTCTCATGCGGCTCATTGTACTCAGTATATTTCAGCAACACTTTGTCCATATCAGTGCTGGCATACTGGAACAGTTTGTTGGTGCTGTTGAAGATGATTAGAGCAATCTCACAGTCACACAGAACACTCAGCTCGTAAGCCTTCTTCATTAACCCAAATTTCCTCTTTGTAAATGTCACCTGGAAAAAAAGAAAAAAAGGTCCGTCAAAAATCCCCGAGCTGGTTTTTGTAGTCCTCCTTTTTTTGGAAATATAATGTGTGACTGCTGTGGTCTTTGAATTGAACACGTTGAGAAGGCAAGTGCATAAATATAAATATAGTTCAAAAATAGAATATTGGGGGGGTGTGTGTGTTATGTAAGTGAGGAAATATACATAATTCTCACTGCACAAAACTCAAGGTACAGGTAAAGAGCATGGGACATGTTCATTAACTATCACTATGAAATGTTGCTACTGCATCTTTCTCTGTAACTTTTAAATTCATATACTCTTTATACTGCATACATATTTCCCAACAATATTTTAAAATAGTTTGTACACGTGACACATGGATTAAATTCTTCTTTTTGATAGTGATTGACTTTGATTCCCTGCCCACCAACACCTACTAGATTTTTAGTGGGAGAAATTATTTCATACAGAATTCAAATTGTGTGAAACAGATACATATTTTGTATAAACATACAATAGTTTTGAAGAATAGTATTAAAAATTCAAACACTCATGTGAGAAATGAGAAATATAAAGCATGAATGAAGAACAAACAATAGTTGGCCAGCAACAAATACCACCTTTGAAGCAAGGTCTTTTCTAAACACAGATGTAGCATACTTTATTTCATTTCAAATTAGATGCTCAGAAATACTAACTGGTGTTTTTTCATACAAATGAATTTGGGACATATTATACAGGAAAAAATAGGAATGTGCTTATAAGTTCTCAGTAGGACAGCTAATGTCCTGACATCATGCAAAACCTATGCAGTATGAAAAATATCGTTACTCTGTAGAAAACCGTAATTTTCCACATGGACTGTTTTGACAACGAAAGACCTGCACATCAAATAATTTTTTTTTCCTCTTCTTTTCTGCACTAGCTTACAAGTTCCAGTAAAACATGTGACTCAGAATAAGAAACTACCATAAGCTGTTTAAGCTAATTGTATGGTTGAATTTTTCTCCTTCTTCTGTTTGTTCATATATGCAATTTTCATTAAGTGTATACAATGACTCTGATTTTTTTTCCATTTATTTTTTTCTCTAATAATTTTCAGTGACAAGAATTTTTAAGATGAAAACATGTTTTTGCTAAGCCTGTTATTAATCAAATATAACATGTAGTCAAGGTATTTGATATGTCAAGGACAGGCATGGAACCAAGTTTATAGGTCTGCCTAATCCTGCACTTGTTGCTACCAATCCTTAACACCCATAAGCAGTAGCACCTCTGCACTTTAATCCTGAGACAAGAAGATTTGTCTGTACATGGTTCATATGGCTGCTGTTTTATCTTGTCACACTCCTAATGCAAGTTAATACTAACTGCAACCCCAGACTACCTTAAAATCCCAGCACATCAGGGCATGGAAAATGTGACCTTTAAGTATTGCTAATCCCTATTTGCTAGTCCATCGCAGAAAGATGAGTCTCTGTGCCAATACTATGAACATTTATTCTCCCAAATGTATACTGAATGTTATTCCTCTTATTGTCATTTCAATCTCTTTAGCCTCTGTCAACATACTGTTTAAAAAAGATGGATTGCCATTAAATACAATTATTCAAGCATTTTAAAAACACACTTTCCACAGCACCAGTCTCAAGTATGCATAATTGATAGTAAGTTCTTTCTAAATTTGTCTGTGTCAATGGCTTTTGATATTTGGATTGAATAACAAGATAGGTAACAAAACTTCATTCAAATTCTGAAAAAAACCCTAGTCTTTCAAATACTCCTTTAATGTTTCTCTGATTACAGAAAATTGCAATGCATTTGTTGAAACATACATATATAAAAGCATGTTTTAGAAAAAGCTAAACATACAGAAAATAAAATGTACTAACTCAACATATTTTTCTGCATCTAAAATGCCTTTCAATCAACTTTTTGACCACAGTGCAGTAGGTGGAGTGTCTCTGTACAGTATGGTTTCTGTTGCACAGAAACCTCAGAATTCAGCATGTTACAGCTTCTTACCATCAAAGTACACTCCAGTACAGAAATATCTTTAAAGCCACTGTTTCTGTTTACTGTTAGGTGCTCCTGAACATTTAGAATAACCACACAGCTGTGCAGCATAGCACATACTTATTTCATAATACTTATCACCAGAATGATACTGGTTAGAGTTCCTTTTTGTGGAAAGTGAAAAAAAGAACAAAGCATCTAGAACTCTTTTTCTTTCTTTAAAATACAATCTTAATTGCTCTGAATTTGATTTATTTTTAACTCCTTGATATTTCTAACATTTTCTAAATCTATCAGATAATGCTTTCTGCCACTGCTGATAAATGCATTGAAAAAATTGTATCTACTACTGTTTCTATGGTGATCTGGAATATTACTTTTCTTTTTAAATATGCCATTCATTGTGGCTTATCTTTACATATATATATGTAAATTTATCATGCTTTTACAACAGTTTATAGTAGGGGTGAACTTGTATTTTCAAATGCATACTGAAAGGTCAGTAACTTCAGGAAAGATTAAGAATATCCTTCAAGCCATTTAAAAACAATGCTCTTTTTTCATACTTTCTTCCATATGGCTATATAAGGAAGATGAATATACTTTGCTTTCATATGCTAAAATATTTTTGTGAGCAATATAAGTAGAGAGCATCTTTATTACTTAACTTTTTTTGTGTCTCAATTTGTTAACCATTTGCTATGTCAAACCAAAAGTATCTAATAAATACTGTCTAAGGTAACAGATAATATTCTAATATTGCAGAAATTTTGCTGAGTGGTAAAAACTAGCATAAATTATTTAAAACATTTGGTGTCTTTTGTCTAGGTGGAAGGCAGTGTGCAACCTACACTTAAGAAGCTTTGACTACACTTGAACTGGCTCAGTGCTGAGAATGAGCAAGGCACACACAATCCTCATGAACACAAGCTTTTCAGTAGCTGTAGCTACAGTACCAAAAAATCCAGGTGGTCACATAGCCTTATTGTCATATACTGCATTCAAAGTTCTCAGTCATGATAACATCATATAACAATGGACAATGTAATTTTCTCATTTGACATAAAGAACACTAGTGAGACTGAAAGAAAACACACATACAGTGAGACAATTCATCAACATGTTTAAAAAAGGACATCCAAAAAATGTGTACATATGTGTTTAATATTTAACCTTTTTTCAGCAGCAAGAATCAAATTACTACATTTTCTTTCCTGATGGTATTAGTCAAGATATGATTAATTTTCCTTGTTGCCAAAACCACTGCTAATTTGTAGGTGTTTTTCAGTTCACAATTTTTCTCCTTTTTAGGATAATGATAGGCAATTTAGGAAGTCCTTCTCTTTTTGGGATATAATATTTTATAATGACAATGTGAGAATTGGGGAGAATGAAAGTGGAGTGGAGGGACAAAGTAGATCAGATAAGAGGCCAGGATTCGACTGTCTTTAAAACCTTTGTAAGCATGTGTATATAAAACACAAGGTCTGAAACACTGACACAGTTTCTAAATACTGTTATGAGGTGCTTTTATGCATAGTTTTATATGTATTGCAAAAAGTGCAGTGTGCAGAGAGTACCACATTTACCTCTGAAACATACCAAAAAAATAAGCTAATTCCATCCCTTCATATTAACTGAAAACCAGCCAGTCTGTTACTATTTGCCTTAGCACTATGGTTATTTTACTTATTTAAAGGTCATTTTCAAAAATGTAAGAGCCAAACTGCCCTCATAACAGGAATGGCGGTACCAGGAAGATAGGTTACTAAAGCCTGCAGCATTTTTGTATATGAAGAAGCATAAATGCTGATGACTTTATAGGCTGTGAGCAAATCAGATGCTGCTTTCAAATACTGGGAAAACTAAAACAAAAAAACCAACAGTGAAGTAGCCACCTTCCAACTTCCTTGCTATAAATCGAGGTGAGCTTTTTATGCATTTTGAATGAAATTCTGACTAAACGTGAAACCCACTGTATGTGATAAAGGAAAGGCATTGACAAAAGAGGATTGTTAAAAAGGACGTTTTTCCACTTCAATTCTGGCTTGTCTTCAATACCATGGAAACACCTCTCAACTAGCTCTTCATGCGCAAAGCTGCAAGAGTCTTCTGAGAGATGTTTCATGGACTAGTCATTGCAATGTCTGTAAGTGGGACTGTGGACAGCCTGAATTCAAATGTGCGTATCATACACTGTGATATGCTCCATTTAAAGGGTAATTTGGGCCAGAGCAGACTTTCTTGTTTAATTGCTAGTGGGTAAAACTTACTTCAACTAAATAAACTAGAAGGTAATGTTGCTTGGTTGCGAGTATAAATTCTTTGACATGCTGAAATTTAAATTTAAATATGTGTGTGTAAATGGTAGTAGTCTTTATTTAGCTAAATTTGTAACAACAAATATATAGATGTTAATACAACAGTGGAGGAACAGAAGCAGCCATAAATACTCCCATTTAATGAATACAGCCTTCAGGATACTTTATTTATCTTTGTCACAATGTAGTCTTTGTTTCTTTCTGTATTTTTTTGTGGGAGTTGGTTTGGGATTATTTTATTTCATTTTATCTTTGTATTTAATTCAGGTCCTTCTAGTACTTTTTGTGAGAGGCTGAGCCATAACAGCACTCCGCATTTGTCACAGCATCTGTGCTAACATTTTATGTCTTGAAAGTGGCAGTCCTGTGATCTTTCAAGCAATTCAGTCCAGCCAGTGGCAAAATACAAGTGTTCCCCTTACTTCTTCCTATCTGATTAGAAAGATATATAGCTGCTGATACAGAAAAATGAGGGAAACAGGGAATTTGCACATAATCCTTCCCATATACATTTCCTGCCATTAAACATGTATGAGTGACTAGCAAAAATCAGGGACCACTTGACAGACACTGGCTGGTCAAGAAGAAATATTGTTCTTTTTGTTCTTATTTCACCTGGAATGTCTAAAGTTCTGATGCAGGGACTAGAGCAAGCATGGTAGATATGGT